CTCTATCAGGTAATATTCTCTCAGTTTGAGCTCCAGTCGCCACCCTGGTGGACTCGAGAAAAGCAGCTCTGTCTCTCCTGCTGTTACCATCACTCCTCTGGCAGTAATTCAGAGCAGGATTTTGCTAATGCTTCACTTTCCAGTTGTGCAGAAGATGACAGGGTTGGGATACCCACTCCCCTTGTAACTGAAGCAGCCATATGGGGACAATTCTTGTGCATGCCCTTGTCCCAGTATAATTAATATCAGTCCTTTATACTCTTTGAAATTCTTTGGGTTTTGGTGGTAAATTAGATTATAGTGAATATAAATCGTAAGAAATTTTGGCAACTATTGGAAATGTGTCAAAGAAGGCTTCAATGAGAAAAACATATTTAGGACATAAAAATGAAAAAGACGTACATACAGGGAGTAAGCAAGCTAGAAGTAGAGATTTGTGTGGGATAGCCTTCGCAGGCAAGAAAACACAGAGGTGAGATGTTCCAGGGGTAAAAATAAATGACTGACATAAAGGGATAGATTACCATATGGGCAGCTGAACCAGTTTGGAGGATTCAGTCTTTAGTTTGGTCATAGAACTAAGAGTAAAAGGTGACAGTGTGAGTAGCAATTGGTGAAGTACCCAGAAGTGATACCAGGGAATTCTGCTATTATGAAGGCTCCAAATAATGTGTCATTTGAGATTGTTTGGATAATTATTTGAAAGAAGGCCAGCTTCAACTTTATTTCCTTTTTGTGGTGGTTCTATGTGTTTTAAATGTTTACTACCCAACTTCCCATCGATTCTGGGCAGTGTTCCAAAGAAGTGATTTTGAGTCACATAGCAAACTAATTTCATTCAATTTTGTCTCAGGTATTCTAATTAATTTGAAAATCCCTATTATCCACATTTAATAATTTATGAGTTTTCTTCATCAAAATACTAATAGTGGACTTTTGGGATTCGTTACCTAAAGAGGCAGAATTATAAAAATACATACCTAAAATGTTATGGTACTATTTCTTAATATTAATATGAATATATTCTAGTATAAAATGTTTAAATGGGAAGTTTAACCATAATCATTTATATGGATAAGATTATGCATTTTAGTTAGTTTATAGACTTTGTAAACAGTTTACAAAGTATAAAATGTATGACAAAAGTAATTTGAAGATTAGTATTATTACATAACAATAAGGAAGGCACATTTGAATTCACATAATAATATATTGTTTGGATTTTTGGTTGTTTTACATTAACAATGAGTATTTCTGTGTCAAAGCTTAAATGGCTTTATTCAGCATCATTTATAAACTGAGTCTTTCTGTTACTGAATTCACTGTGTTTATTAAAGCTGGCTGTAAACCCTTCTGTTTCTATCTTTCCTTTCTGTTTTTCAGCAGGGCTAATGTGTTGTTTCCTCTTACCCCTGTCCAGTTGTAAAACAATGACCTTCATTGATCAATCAATGGTGTGTTTCCCTATAAATGCATGCAATACTTCAGAGTTGATTGACTGGAAAAAATAAAACTTAGCAATCCTACACCTTGCACTTTGTTTAAATGTTACATAAATAATTAAAATGTCAATTATGCATTTATTAAATTAAATATTATATTGAGTGTAGGTAAAAATTAATACTTTGTCTTAATTTTCAAAACAAACTCTAATCTACATAACTAACTGGAAGGTATTTGTAGTTGCCATCTGTAGTAGTCCCACATTGTGGTCCCAATCTGGAGTTACCCTGGTTTGTTTGTGCCACACATTGAGGAGCCCTCTGTAGAAACCCATCTTTGGGGAGCTTCAGTCAGAGCCAGCCTACTTGCCTGATTTGTTCCTGAGAAGTGGGAGTGTGGGTTGAGGAAATGGTAGGTAAAGATACTAAAGAAAAGATAGAAATAGCATAGAGTCACAAGGGCAATCCAGTGAATACTGAATGCCCCAAGTTTATTTTTCTTCATTCTTATATACCCCAATCAAAAAGAGAAAAATTACAAAAGACTTCTTTATCATGTACAGGAAACAGACTTTTCTCCCTTAATTCTCCAAACATTTAGCAACCAAACCATAGACAAAATCTGGTCTTGTTATCTGCCCTTGAGGATTGAGAGTAATCACACCTTAGACCAAATCTCTTGTTCTCTGGGAAAGACATCCACACATTAGACCAAACATCCTTCAGTAGCCACATCTTAGACCTTTAGATATTATGACTTTAACCTTGAAAAAGTAAGGATATGTTTGAACTCTCTCACCTTAAGTCAAGATGAATCAGAGACATTTTTATGGGCACCGACAAGCTCCCTTCTAAATTTAATTAACTAATAACTGTGATTCTGCCACAGGACAGATGACTTTGTCTGTCTTAGGTTTTATTCTTTCACCTTCTAGCCTTACCCATCATTGGAACACACATTCCATCATGCATGACCTGTTTTAGGTTGCCTGGGGGCAAAAATATCTTACCCATCTTGACTTTGACTACCAGCCACTGTAATAAAAAAAAGGTTAGGGGATAGTGTGTAGCTTGATGCCATGAACCTCTGAGCTAACATTTCCTTGAGAGTTCACAAGCAAGCCTGGTGATGCCAAGCAATATGTATGCTTTTATGGCTACAATGTCTCCTATTAAAGGAATAAAGCATGATAAAAAATTAAATGGCCTTTTTCAATTGGGCTAGGGTATCTCCAGTAGTTTTAGCTGTATCAATATCTAAATCCACATTCTTAATTACTCACATTACAGGTATTTAGTCTGGTTCCTTTATAAAGCCATAATTGAGGAGATATTGTTCATTATCTGCAGATGATTTAATTCTTATTTTGTGTTTTTTAAAATATATTCTTTACATCTTCTCTTTCTTACCATATAGTTAGTACATACAATACATTTTTGAGTACTGTGTTGTTTTTTTATTTTTATTTTTTATATTTTACATGTTGATCCCAGTTCCCTCTCCCTCACTCCCTCCCTCTTATTCTCTCTCCCCCCCTCACATGCACCCTGACCACCCTCCCCATCCATCCCCCCACCCCCATTCCATATGTAGGACTATGCCATCCAGGTGGGGTCATGTAAATCTGTCAAGTCATTTGAAGTAGGGACTAGGACTTCATTCCTGTTTCTAGGATAAGGGAGTGTCCCCCAATGGGGGATGCGTTCACAAGGTCCTTTTGTGCACCAGGGATACATCCTGGCTCCACTGTCTGAGGTCCCTTAGACTGCTCAGTCCTTCTAGCTGAGACCCATATTCAGGGGGGCCTGAGTCAGTCCCATGCTGGATTCCCAGCTATCAGTCTGGTGGGGGGGCATTAGCTCCTCCTTCTTCAGGTCAACTGTCTCTATGTTGTTTCTGCAACCTGGCCTTGTCCTCTCTCTCTGCATCTGGATTTCAGTTTGACTCAGTGTCCAGTTATGGGTGTCTGCCTCTGCCTCCAACAGGCACTAGCAAATCCCCCAGAGCACATGGGAAGTGGGAGGGCAGTGAATGGAGAGAGAACTATGAGAAAGAGAAGGGGAGGAGAGGAAAACGTGTGCGACTAGGAAGATTGCCTCAGGGTAGGAATAGAAGACAGAGAGAGAGAGAGAGAGAGAGAGAGAGAGAGAGAGAGAGAGAGAGAGAGAGAGAACATAAAAGAGGGAGCCATTGTTGGCTTGAAGAGAAAACTGAACCTAGGGAGAGGTCTAGAGACCTATAAGACCGACTCCAAATAACAATTTGAGCAACAGTGGAAAGGCTACCATAAATGCCCTTCCATGATAGTGAGATCAACGACTAACTTATCCACCATCATGGAGTATTATGTTTTCTATGTATAATTTTTAGACCTTTCTCTTTAATGATTTTGAAATACAGTTCTGCATTGTAACCTCAAATTGATGATGCTCCTGCCTCAACCTCCTAAGTGCTGGAAAGTACAACTGCCCAACTAGATTTACCATGATTGAACTTTTAAACATGCTTCAACTAAACAATGGCTATTAATCTTTAATAATTTCTCAAAACTTAGTTCTCCTTTTTACGTTAAGACAGGTATTTTAGATTAAAGGCCGCAGTTACTATTGAACACTTCTCAGTGGGGTTTTCCAACAGCTACCCAAGCATTTGTCCTTTGATACATTTATTCCTGCTTTTTATTGGCAGTTCTTGACTTTCTAATCATCTCCATAATTAGTTCCTAATTTCAGAAATTGGATCACCAAGCAAGCAGTAAAACTCAGAACAACAAATGATGAGTAGAGCATAAACTCATAAGCCTGGAGGGTACGTGGATGGCGTCAACATAGCTGTAGCACCCTTCAATTCACTCTTAACTTCAGTCTCTCTATAAAATCAATCTTATATTAGTATTTCTCTTGATAAATTGTCATCTTCTCAGAAATTCTTTTTGTCTCTCGTTACATATCCATGAACTTAAATCTTAACCTATTTTCCATGTTAACAGTATAGGAAGTTTGTAGGATGGCATTGCATGATTTTTAAGATGCTTTAGGCACTAACTAGCTGAAACAATCTTGTCCTTGCAAAGCTGGTCCAAAGACATAGTCTCAGAAATTCAGGCTTCTTCATATTTATCCAACTTCCATTGCAAAGTATAAATCAGAGTGAGTTATTCCAAGTCTTCCTTCTATGTCTTTTCAATAATTTCTGCAAAAAAAAAAAAGTGATTATCTCAGATGGATATACCTGCTTGGTTGTATATGTCAAGTCTGTGTATTATTGTAAAGTTACTAACAGTTAAAATAGACAGGACTCACATTTATTATATTTGTGCTCATTTTTCTTCTTGCTTAAATAGACTATAGAAGATTCCTTTATAAGAAGAATACTTTGAGCATACTGGAATTTAGAATCTTTGTAATACCCTATAATTATGGGGCAAGGCATATAAAACATGAGTAAATTAAGTGAAGGACATTAAATCTTGGCTTCAGATCACTGTTTCCATCACACTTATTTATTATTGCAAGTCGTCATGTTTTTGAATGAAGCTCGCTTACTTTATTTTGCAGGTCAGTTTCTTCTGGAAGAGTCTCGCCTCACAGAAGCAGCCGAGATGGCCAAGAAGGCAGCTGAACTTGACAGCACTGAGTTTGACGTCGTCTTCAATGCTGCCCACATGCTCAGGTTAGTTTTTGTTTCTGTTATCTTACATGAATGATGCTTTGGCTTGAAAGAAGCAGTCCATTATATTAATTTCCCTACTGCACCATTATCGCCTGCATTTTTAAAATGAATCACACTGCATAACCAGCTAAAAATTAATAAGAACCAGTTCATTCATTATAATCTCTTTGTCTGTTGAGCAAGGAATATGGGCTTCAGGGTCCAGAAATTTATCGAGATTCTCTACCCACCTCTTCCCTTCCCTCTAAAACTTACCACAAAAGGAGATTTGCAAATGTGTGAGTTTTATAACTGTCTCCTTACTTGTCTCCCAAATACCAATATCATCTCAATTAATCAAATATGTTCTTATATTTGTTATTATAATAAGCATTCGTGAATGTGACATGGTAATATCTGACCATGGGAACAATTATCAAATACAAATATACTTAAGATACATAAAATACAATGGCTCAGTAACCAGCACTATTGATGTTTTGAAGAGATACTTTGTTAAGCCACTAAGGCTTACATTTCAGAAGAGTTATTTCAAAAGCTAATTACAACAGCAGCAAGACTTGGATTTTTTTTTAAAGTCAACTATTTTCATTGTGAATATTAAGATAAAAAGGTTATCAGAACCTCCAAAAGAGTTGTTTTAGAGTCAAACAATTTAAAGAATAGTATTTGTTAGTGTGTGTGGTCTTTGTCCATACTCTGAATTTCTGCTCCTTAAATTCCCACCAGTGAGCTTTGTTGAGTGATGCCTACACAGAGGTCTCTGTGCTCAGTCCTCTCCGCAAATATAAATATACACATAGAAAATGAGGACTACTCCTCGCTTTAACTTGTTATTGAAAAACCCCATAAATTCACATACAGTAGTAAGAATGAATATAAATATCTTTTGGTGTTTATTCAGTTGTCCTCATGGTAATTCCTTCCTAAACCACAGTACCTTTTCAGAGTGAGTATGTTGACATTGATAGTCTGCTAGCAATACTGTGTATCTGTACCTGTGGGGTGTGTGTGTGTGTGTGTGTGTGTGTGTGTGTGTGTGTGTGTGTTTCTATAAATTTATCGTTTGGGCCCATCAACGGAATCAAGATGCAGTTCTGTCATCATCTCATCTGTCATGAGTCTCATCATCAACATTTTCACTGGTGTGGTACTTTTCTAGTGACCAAATCCATTTCCCATTGACCCCACAAGAAACTGATACTTAAAGCCAAATATTTTTAGATAATTTGGGTTATCGATTAAGACTAATATTATATTGTATTAAAACTATATCTTATTGTGCTCTTCCTTGGGGTTTTAACAGTTTTTAAATACCTTGGTTCAAGGGCTATGTAAACCTGATTGAATGTCTGTTCAATAAACTCACTCTGGATTAATGTTAGCAGTACAAAAGTACTTCTTATTGGATGAACCCAAGAAATCTGGCATCTAGGGCTGGGAGTGTGATAGTTATGTTTGTCAAAGTCCCACAGACTTCATAAAAGCAAGGGATATTGGTGAAAGCTTGTAATCTCAGCACTCTGGAGGTGGAGAAAGGAGGATCAGAAGTTGAAGGTAATCCTTGCCTTCATTTGGAGTTCAAGGCCAACTGAGGCCAGATGAGACCCTGTTTCTAAGAGAAGCAATAAAAGGTGACATGCAATTAGGAACCAAAAATCAATTAGGTATCAATATGTTTATGAGTTAGACTATACCCAGTGTAGGTATCTTCAATGTAAGGGTGATGAATGATTTTTTTAAAGGAATCTTGATTTGAGGATGAAGTTAAGTGTTGATATGGTGGAGAGCTCTTTGTGCACTTCCTGAATGCAATGCTGGCCTCTTAATCATGGTAAGCAATTGCCGGTGTAGGAGAGTACGTTGGTATAGGTTAAATCATCTTACTCATCTGCAAGACACTTTGCTACATAGAAGATTACTACCTGGAATTCAGAATCCATCAATGAAAACTCATTATAGGACTATTACGGCATACATGTACAGTTTATGTATATATCACATGTAGATTTTTCTTTGTTACCTTGCTAGTGCCAATGAGCAGTTTGTCTTACAGCATTTTTATCTCTAGAGCCTTCGACTTTTCTGCACTCCTTTTAAGGTACAGTCACTCAACACCTTGTTGGACTGATTGATTGCATGTGACTATAGCAGCTTAACAGTACCCCACTGAACTGGTAGATGCTTCTGGGACTGTTTCTGTTTTTCAGCTCAATGAATTGCCAGTCTTTGTTGTATGCTAAATTAGTTGAGATTCTCTAGAAGAACACACACACACACACACACACACACACACACACACACACACACACGAGTTTTAGACTGGCTTCTAGGCTGTGGTGTAGATCATCCAATACTGGCTATGTACCAATGGAAAATCCAAGAATCTACTGGGTGTTCAGTCCACAAGACTGGATATTTCATCTGGTCTTCAGTACACACAAAAGTCCCAAAGAAGTAGGCTCTAATGAAGGAATGGACTTCCTTCATTGCTGCCAGAGCAAGCAGGCCAAGAGAACATGCTTGCTTATTCCATGCCCTTCATATAGGCCACCAGCAGAAGGTGCAGCCCAGATTAAAGGTGGATCTTCTTCCCACCTCGGAAGATCTGGATTAAAAGTAGGGTTTCCAATGCAAATGATTAATTAAGAAATAATCTATTGCACATGTTCCCTGCCTCTTGGGTTTTAGTTAATTCCAGAAGTAGTCAAGTTGCCAACCAAGAATAGCCATCACAGATGCTTTCTGTACAAACTGATTTCTGATCTCGTCTTTAGTATCAAAGACTATACAGGAATTTTTTTTTGAAAGTACACATAAATGTTTTTGGTTTCCTCTTGAATACAGTTTTGATACAATATGTCATAAGTAATCAATATTTTGGCTTAATGTCATTTTATATATGAAGTATCCCAAGGGAGTTCCACATTCTGAGCTGATTTTGATACCAAATCTTTTCTCCAGAGCTTTTGTTTGGTGAACACTATTCTTCATAGCCATAAATAATCCTTGACTACCCTGTCTGCCCTTAGGCTAAGCAAAGTTTACCACGCAGGGCCAGTGCCACCACCACTCAGAGCTGGAAGAGCATTCTCTGAGTCCAGGATTCCATTTTCTTGAGATTTCCATTTCATTGGTGAAACCCGAGTCACATGCTGGAAGGAAGTTAGGAGATGAAAGAATCTGGGTCTCCTGCTTTGCTTGGGAACATAGAATCCACGTTGTGACTTAATTATCAACTATGTTTACAGGGATGGCGATCACAAATGCACAGTCTCACTTAATGCACATCCAAGTGCATAGTGACACTTTTAGGTCTTCAAATAAAACCTGAGAGCTAGTAGATGCTTCCAGATGAGACCTTTTCTTTTTGTTGTTTTTAAAGCGGATCGATTATCATCAAAGGGACATATCAAAGGAACTTAGAATGTTTGAACTCAATGGAATCTGTCTACATAGTTGTGAGAGGAAACAATTGAATCAACTATTCTGTTAAAAATATTTTGTACGAAGGGGCATATTCAGTCCCCCCTCCCCCTCTGAACTTGATGTTGGAATGAGAGTTGTGAATTTATTTGGTATCTGAGAAGAAGTCAAGAAGCAAGGAAAACACATTTTTCCTGATGCATAGGCTTCAGTATTAGAGTTTTGTTGTCCTTTTTCTTTTTGATCTTATTTGATGAGAGATGAAAGTAGTGTTTATTCTGATGTCTTGTACCTCCCTGGTACTGTGTTTTGCATGCATACCTGACACTCTCCTATTTCTGCCTGCACATCTGCAGAGGGTACACTGATACTCTTACATTATAGATGCAGACCCTGAGGGTCCCATCATTGTTTCTCAGAGCTGGCAATGATGCAATCTGAATGCAGTATAGCCTGGCTACATATAAATGTATTTTCATTATCACGGGGGTCCTTCATCTGTATAACTATATGACTTCCTAGAAAGTATGATTCTAACTAAAGGAGCAAGACTTATAGAAGTTGACAGGTTGTCACATGTATAAATCCTAGATGATAAAGCCTTTGTGGACTGTTAAAATGAAATCCTTGTTGGTAAAGTTTTCTAATGTAGGTTCATGAGTTCATTGGAAAGATTACTCCAACCTTATATCAATGAAATATTTGTCTGTTTTCAATCACATGACTTGGAGACTTGGAGAAGTGTCATATATATATATATATATATATATATATATATATATATATATATATGCAAGCTTCCAATGCAGTGAGATGTCCTAACTGTGTTATAATACCTGGTTCTTATTGGTTTCCTATTATGAGTAGTTTTTCCTGCCAGTCTTGTCCCACAGCCATACCAGCCCTGAATAACACACAGAGATGCTGTATTAGATATAAATGCTATTGGCTATTTACTTGTTTCTTATTGGCTAGCTCTGTCTTAAATATTAACCCATTTCTGTTAATCTAAGTACTTCCACATGGTCTTATCTTACCGGAGAGAGGGGCTGGCATTCTTCTCTCTCTGTCCTCCATCTTGGCTCTCCTCGCTACTACTTCCTCGAATCCTCCTTGTCTCCTAGTCCTGCCTATCTTGCTTTCCTATTGGCCAACAGTGCTTTAGCCATTAACCAATACGAGAAACATATTTACAGAATGACATCTCCCATCAGTTTCCTAATTTCTAGAACAGAATGAATATATGAGCAAGAATCATTATATTGTAATTTCTCCACTCAAACAGCACAGTGTTAACTGATTATATGCTATATACAAACATAGCAAACATAGAATTTAAAGGTAATAACTTCTTTATTAGTGTTACTGGAGGGGACATGAAATGGAAATTCTAAGGTGAAAAAGAAACAATATTGGATTTTTTTCTCTCTCTTTCTCTCCATATGCATGGGGGGGGGGACAGGGAGGGTGCTCCAGAGCATGTGTGTGCATACATTTGTGTTTGAGGCCAATGCAAAGTTAGTCTTTAATATCCCTTGGTTTTGCATCTGTCGAGTCTACTAACTACAGAGAGA